ACAACAAGGTGACTAGAGTTAACAACGCTGTATTATATACTTGCAAGTTGCTAAGAGAGTAGATCTTAAATGTTCTCACCACAAAAAAATGGTAACTATTTATGGTGATGAATGTGTTAATTACCCTTATTGTAGTAATCATTTCCCAATATGTAAGTATATCAAATCATCACTGTGTACACCTTAATCTTACACAATGTTTTAATTACATCTCGATAAAGCTGGGAAAAAAACCCAAAACAACTTCAGCGTGACTCCGGCTGAGTTTTCAATGCCTGCCCTACAAATTTCAAATTTGCCTGCCCCCACAACTGTGTGAGTCAATTCCTTAAAATAAACCTCCTATGTATGTATTTCCTCTTGGTTCTGTTACTCTGGAGAACACTGACTGATACAGTCATCAATGGAGGATTAATATCTTCAGTTGGTGTTACATTTCACAAAAAATATTGGTTTGCTTTAAGAAAGTAAAATGAGTGCAGGGTTCCCAATAAGGTGCTTTGTACTTTTTATTCTCGATGAATACGATTATCAGATTAAGGACACTTTATATTTCCATCTTCCAACAACTCAGATTTCACACAGGGTGGGGAGAGAGTACAAAGATATAACTGGGGCTCAATTTAAAACCAGACTACCAGGTGAGGCCCAAGCTTGTTCCAGGAGGTTAGAGAAAAACGCTATGAAATGCATCCATAACATCTAAACAAATATGATACGAGCATAATTCATAAATGGAGCTGGAGCTCAGGGAAAGGCTGACTTGCCAATATATACCAGTGATATCTTTGTGATACAGTTAAAATATATGGGCGTCACTGGTATCCTTGCTAGTATTTTGTTAACTCAGATGACTTTTCTCAATTTAAAGCTTTTAAATATTACTTTCCCCCACAAATTCTTAATATATTTTAGATTTTGATTACTGACAAATTTTAATCAAAGAAAGTATAAGGAATCATGCAAAAATTCCAAAAACTGCTTCATGCTTCAAACACCTTAAATAAAATTTAAAATATCTCTTAAAAATTTTGCAAACTTCTAAGATATTTGATCGGTGGCAAAATAGCCCCTCTACTAAAATTTTGCTCTAAGGAAAAAAAAATTACAAAATGAAGACTTATCATTGATCTGCAGAATATAATTATTAAACCTAAATTAATAATTTCATGAATGTAGCAGATTATCCCCAAAACAGTCTTGATTAGATAGGTCAGACTTCACCTTTGTAGCTGAAGTCATATCCATTTTGCTGAGGATAGTTACTTTGCAAAACTATTTTATAAAAGAAGCAAATACAGGTATATAGACAGATCCAGATAGAAGCTGTTAAGTAATATAAACGTTTTATTAGCCTAATCTGACATTTCTCTTTTTTAACTTTGATTAATTTGTAACTCCCACAAAGTATATACAAACATTCAAACACCTGACTGTGACAATCATACAAATAAAACATTTGCTTTTATCCTAAAATAGTTACATAGAATACAAAATTCAAATAAGAATTTCTTACTTTAGGACTTCTATGATGGCACAGTGGTTAAGAATCCCCCTGCCAATGCAGGGGACATGTGTTCGATCCCTGGTCCGGGAAGATCCCACATGCCACAGAGCAATGAAGCCCGTGTGCCACAACTATTAAGCCCACATGCTGCAACTACTGAAGCCTGTGTGCCTAGAGCCTGTGCTCTGCAACAAGAGAGGGCCATGCACCGCAACGAAGAGTAGCCCCTGCTCGCCGCAACTAGAGAAAGCCCGTCCGTGCACAGAAACAAAGACCCAACGCAGCCAAAAAAAAAAAAGAATTTCTTACTTTAGACCATGAAAGATCAAGGAGATCAGCAGTATGTCCTTTATATTTGCAAAACGGCCGTTGTCGAAATGGTGCATTTTTATCATCTGGGTCTTCATCAGCTCCACTGCATACCTATTTAGAATGAAAACAAATGTTAAAACTAGAAAAACAAAAGCTTCATACTCTTCCCACCCCATTTATTCTCTCATTTTATATGATGCCTGATTGAAATCTTGATCCACTAAAAGCTGACTCCCCTTTATGCTGAACCTACTACTTATTACTTCCTCACCTCCTTGTCCTAATAAACCAGGATCATCCCTGAAGACATCGTGCTATCACAATTTTTCCCTCCCTAACAGAGCCCCCACTTTGTCCTTTTTTGAGCATCTCTTCCTTTAGGAGAGGTGGGAGCCAGCACCAGGGGGTGATCACGACTGGTCTAAGCTAATTAAGATGAGCTCACTCCCCTTTCCAGTGATGACTGGTTTAGGCATGGGCATATGTTATAATTTTCATCAAACAGACATGAGGGCAAGTCCATCTGGGGGATGAGGTGATAGGGGAGGCTTCTAGAAAGATTTCCTCACTCTTAAAAAGGGGTATACTAAAGGGACCTTCCTCTTTCCTGCTTCTGAACATTGTTGTCTGCATGTGACACCTAAGACAGTAGTAGTCATCTTACTCCCATCAGGGCACCAAGCCCAGGAGAACAACAGATAAAGAACAGCAAAGCAAGAGGATGGAAGGACCTTGTGTTCCTGATGACACTACTGAGCTGCTGAATTAAGCAACCCTAGAGCCGCCTTACCTCCAGACTGGCTTCCTCATTGTTAAGACATTTTCAGTTGGATTTCTATTATTTGAAGTCAAAAGAATCCTGACAGGTAGAGGTAGGTAGAAAATAATGCCATACACATGTGCCGTGCATTTAGTTTACAACATGCTTTTGTATTCATTATCTGAATGAATCCTAACGACCCTGTGAGGTAGGTATTACCATTACGAGGATGAAGAAATTAAGCAAAAAACCTGAGAATCAGAGGTCAAAATAACATATTAAAAGTCACGCAGCCACCTGTAAACAGCAGAACCAAAGCAAAGGTACAAGTAATCTAACTGTAAGTCCAGAGGTTGTTCCTCAAATGTTTTAGAGGATGTCACTTAAGCAGGAATATGGAATGTTAGCTAAGCATTGCGTATTTAGGGAAGGGTAGGTAGGATGATGAGGATGTAGAAAAACGTATATGGAGATAAAGCAGGGGATTAGGGTAGAAAGGTACTTTGAGACCAGAGCCTTGGATTTGTGGCTTAAAAATTCAGACATTCTGGGGGCTTCCCTGGTGGCGCAGTGGTTGAGAGTTCGCCTGCCGATGCAGGGGACACGGGTTCGTGCCCTGGTCCGGGAGGATCCCACATGCGCCGGAGCGGCTGGGCCCATGAGCCATGGCCGCTGAGCCTGCGCGTCCGGAGCCTGTGCTCCGCAACGGGAGAGGCCACAGCGGTGAGAGGCCTGCGTACCCTAAAAAAAAGAAAGAAAAAGAAAAGCCTAAACACCTTCCTTCTTGCTCCATCCACCACCAACGGGCACCA